TGGGTGGGGTTGGACGATTGGCTTGTCAAGGTTTCCTGGTTAGGGAAGCTTGCGTCGGTGTTCTGGTGCGTGGAACTGGATTTCTTCTCTCTGGAGTGCAATGGAGTGCCCAGTAATGAGTTTTGAGATGGGTCTATATGTTAGGTGTGACTATGGCAGCCTGTAAGTTGACGCTCAGGGTTGTGTTCCTGCGTTGCTGGAGAATTTGCGTGGTATGTCTTGCTCTGAAACTTACTGGCTCTTGGGTGGTGGTTGGCTTCAGTGTAGGTATGGAGGCTTTTGAATGGTCTCTTATTGCTTAATGTTCCGTGTAGTCAGGAGTTTTCTGATCAGGTTTTGGGCTTAAGTCTCCTGCCTCTGGATTTCAGTTTTATTCTTCCAGTAGTCTCAAGACTTCTCCAACTATACAGCACTGATAATGAAACTTCTAGGTTAATGGTGAAAAGATTCTCCACCGTGAGGGACACCCAGAGAGGTTCACAGAGTTACATGAAAAAGAGGAGAGAGAGGAGGGAGATAGAGAGAAGCAGGAGGAGAAAAAGGGAGACTCAATAGGAGAGAGACAGATCTACACAGTTGTCTGTTCCCAAAGTGTTCCCCATAGCCCAGACACCCACAAAGATTCACAGAACTGGATTGAGAAGAGAAGGGGAAAGGAGGAAACAGAGGTGTTCTGAGGTAGAAAACAGAGAGTCAAAAGTGGGAGAGAGTAATCAACACCCTTCTGAGTAAAAATGGGAACTGAATATTGGCTTTCTGAAATGTCCAAAATTTATATCCCATACTGAAAAACAAAGATTAAACATCTAGAGTAGAGGTTAGACTCTTAAAAATGCAATGCTAAAAACAAAAACAAAAATGCAAAAAATTTTAGAAATATATATGAAGTTCAGTTTAAAAATAGGGCTTCTCAAAAATAAATAAATAAATAAAATTAAAATGAAAATAGGGCTTCTCTCTTTTGATTTTGCAAGGTTATAGTGAAATGAAAATGAAACTTAAGGAGTAGTAGAGGAGTATTAGAGGACTTTAAAAGAAAAAAAGAAAAAAAAAGAAAAATAATTTTTTTTTCGCTAATTAAAAAAATCGTAAAAATATATGAAAATGAAAGTTAAGGAGTAATGGGGGAGTAATAGGGAATTTTAAAAGAAAATGAAAGAGAAAAAATAAAAAAGAAAAGAAAAGAAAAAAATATTAAAAAAAAAAAAAAAGTAAAAATATATCTAGGAATTTCTCTGGAACTGTTGCGGTCAGTGTGGGTTTGGTTCAGCTTCAGATAGCTCCTCGTTCCAGCTTACACTTCTCAATATCTATAGGCCCCTTCCAGTGTAGTCGGTGTTATCTACAGTGATTTTAATCTGTTGCACCAGTCCCTTCTGAAGCAGTTCCCTTTGTTTATTTGGCTTCTGTTTGCCGGTCTCTTCAGTGCCTAATTTCCGCCCTGACACAGGCAGGCGGAGGCGGTCTCTTGTTCCGGTTCCCTAGTTCCATCACGCTGCGGGGAGGTGGGGGCGCTGTTTTCCCCGTCTACGCTGCTCAGGCTCCCGGCTGCTCTATATGGAGCGTGCCCTGCCGTTGCGTGCGGTTCCAGTTTTCAGGTACTCGACAAAAGTGCGGACTCGGTTGTGCCTGCATTTTGTGCCTTCCGCGGCCCGAGCAGCTCAGGCAGCCAGGAGCTTGACGGGCGCACTCTCTCCGGGTGCGGTGCACCTTCTCCCCTCCACGGCCCCAGCCTTAGTTTCAGCCCGCGCCCGGTAGGGTGCGTGCGCCCTGTGTTTAGCCTCGACCCTCCCAGCGGATGTCGACTATCCAGAATCTCAGGAAGTCTTTGGTTAGAAACTGAAGGCCTGTTTGCAGTTTGGTAGGGGATGCCGTCTTTGGGGCCGAGTTTGCCCTTTTCCCCTCCCCCCTGCCTCCTGCCTCCGGCGGAGCTGGGCCGGTCCACAGCCGGCTAGCTCCTCTGGACTTGCTCAGACCCTTTGTCTGCGAATGGCCGGCAGTGTATTCGGGCCGGTTAATTTTCTCTCTCTCTTTTGCTGTCCCACAGTTTAAGTTGGTATCTCACAAAAGCTCACTCCGATTGCCCTCAGGGCACTCAGGCCCAGTACTTACCCTAAACAATGCCGCCCACTCCTCTCCGTTCTGCCCCTACTTGCTGGTGGCGGATGCCGGAGTCTGGGGTACTTTTCTGCTGGGAGTTGCTTTTAGGCACGTAATCTGTGGGTTTGTTTTATTTATTTATTCATTCATTCATTCATTCATTCATTACTCCCAGTTAGGATAGCAAACTTATTTTATAAACGCATCCTGCTGAGTTTAACTACATAGTTTATCCCCAGAAACAAATCTTCCCTAAAAACAGTGTTATATTTTAACAGTGATTGTGAATAACTTTGAACAGATTTTGTGAAAGGCTCTATATCTTTGTTAATGACTAGCTAAGCCAAGGTTGGGTTTCCTCCGTGTGCTTAGTATATGGTTAGTTAGTGGTCATAATCAGAATAGTCACATATTTTTGCATGACATGTAGAAGGACAGAGATAGATGCTACCTGATTTCTGTAGGATCCAGTCTCATTAATGAGTAGATAAAATTCTAGCCTCACTGATTTCCAATCCCAGCTCTGCCTTGTAGTTCAATTATCTTGAAGTTGAAGGTGGAGGCGTCCTGCAGGTCATTGGAAGTAAGAGTCTGGTGTTCGAGGGAGAGACCTGGGATGAGCAAGAAGCCTATGTATTTTTCACTGAGCCAGTAGTAACTGAATCTGTGAAGATGAAAACCCAGGGAGAGTGAAGCACTTTTAGGGGTCAGGATAAGAAGGCTGGATACTCAAAGAGAAAGCAGAGAGAAAGGGGAGGAGAGGAGACACACAATGAATAGCAAGGGAGAAAGGAGGAATTAGGTTGGGGAGCCAAGGAAGGATGAGTCTGTTCAACTCAAATAACAGGGTGAGTCCCTGGAAAATTGTCGGTTGATTTCAAATCAGGAGGCTTCTGGTGACTCCTGGAATAGGCTTCAGATGGGAGGAGGCCAGACTGCAAAGGGCTGCAAATCCAGGAAGCGTGGAGGGAGTTGAGGTGAAGACAGGCTACTTTTGGAAGGAGTTTGAGTGAAGCAGGAGAGAGGTCCATCTGGAATGTAGGGTCTGAGGATATATTGCTGGTTGTTTGGATTTTAAGTTTGTGAGTTAAGTGTTTGTGAGGTGGTGAGAATATTTCCCTCTCTCCCTCCTTCCCTTCAACAAATGGGATAGATTTGAGGTCCTGAGGTACAGGTGTGAGTCAGGCCTGAAGCCCTCCCCTCATGGGTCTCCTCCAGTCCCCCAGGGGAGGGAGACATCTAGAAACTCACCCCTTGATGCCTCTGGACTCCTAATTGTGGGAGCTCTGTCAGAAAATAAAGATCATGGCATCTAGTCCCATCACTTCATGGCAAATAGATGGGGAAACGATGGAAACAGTGACAGAGTTTATTTTCTTGGGCTCCAAAATCACTGCAGATGGTGACTACAGCCATGTAATTAAAAGACGTTTGCTCCTTGGAAGAAAAGCAATGACAAACCTAGACAGTGTATTAAAAGCAGAGATATTACTTTGCCAACAAAGGTCCATCTAGTCAAAGCTGTGGTTTCTCCAGTAGTCATGTATGGATGTGACAGCTGGACCATAAAGAAAGCTGAGTGCCGAGAAATTGATGCTTTTGAACTGTGGTTAGGAGAAGACTCTTGAGAATCCCTTGGACAGCAAGGAGATCAAACCAGTCAATCCTAAAGGAAATCAACCCTGACTCTTCATTGGAAGGACTGATACTGAAGCTGAAGCTACAATACTTTGGCCAGCTGATGTAAAGAGCCAACTCACTGGAAAAGACCCTGATGCTGGGAAATATTGAAGGCAGGAGGAAAAGGGGATGACAGAGGATGAGATGGTTGAATGTTATCACTGACTCAATGGACGTGAGTTGGGGCAAACTCTGGGAGATGGTGAAGGACAGGGAAGCCTGGTGTACTGCAGTCCATGGGGTCACAAAAAGTCAGGCTCAAGTTAGCAAGTGAACAAGAATACTGAGAAAGTTCTTATCATAGTGTTTGGTTCATATAATAAACATCATGAGGACCTCCTATAGTTTTATTTCTTAGGATGCAAAAGCATTCCTTACTGTTTCAACAAGTCTTTTGAGTGAAGGAGTTTAATCCTAACAAAACACCCCATTAAAGTTTGAGAAGTGTCCTTCCTAAGGAGCCCTCTGTATTTATTTTTGCCATTTCAGACATTTCTACTTGTGATCGGTGTGATGGGTGTCATGGTGGCTGTGATTCCTTGGATTGCTATACTTGTGATTCCCTTTGGCATGATTTTGTTTGTTGTCCAGTGGTATTTCTTAAGGACATCACGAGATGTGAAACGCCTGGAATCTGCAGGTGAGTACTGGGGCTCTCAGGTTGGGATGGCAATGCAGGCTGGCTTCCATTTATGCTGTAATTAACCATACCCCTGAAATTTCAGAGAGTCTATCTTCAGGAATTTCTCACTAAGTTGACGTTATATAATTGAATGTGATGGCCACTGTGAGTCAGTGTGGCCCTTAGCAAGTCAGCTGCAGCTTTGCATTTTAGCACAAAGAAGATGAATGTGAGCACAGTGAGGACAGGGACCATTCTGTCTTGTTTATGACATACTGTCTAACAGATTATCCACTCTATAAATACTTTCCTTAAAAATGAAACATTTCATCATGTTGGAACTAATGTAGAAGGAAAATGGGAGTTTTTCTTGTCCTGAAGATGACATTTTTTCTTCTCCTACTAGAGATGACAAGGGTAGTAAAAGATTAAGAAAAGGAAAGGAGACATTAAGGAAATGTATGTCAGAGGTGATATATTTGAAAAATACATTCATTTACATGTCCAAGTAAGTTGCAACTGTTAAATGTATTGAAAAGATAAATCTTATTATTTTCAGCTTCATTCTTTATCATCACCAGTATTTGGAGTGATCCCACACTGTTTGTGGTCCGTCCTTTCTCAAAACTCATATAAATGATGCTATATGGGAATAGCTCTATGAGACGCAATATGAAAACCATTCCCCTAGGAGGACCCAGGATGGGGAATCTGTTTGGTAGGCATTTGGTTTATTATCCCAATCAGTTTCCTACTTGTAGAATAATGAGGGACAGGAACTTCTCTGGTGATCCTGTGGATAAGACTGTGCTTCCCTTACAGGGGGCACAACTTCAATCCCTGGTTGGGGAACTAAGATCCCACACAGTACAGCCAAATAATAATAATAATAATAATGGAGAATACATTTTATGATTAATCCTTCTATAGGTAATCAAAGATATGAAATAATTGAATTTATTTGATTATTAATGTACATATTTCATCAATATTAAAACAAAAAATAAAAGTAGAATTGTTATATATTTTTTAAAAAGTTATAGGAACTATAGCCAAAAAATAAGGAAGGAAGATGTTTATATCAGAGACCCAAATCATGAATAATTGTTACAAATTAATACCAACTTAACCTTCTAGAAACCAAGCCAAGAAGAGAAGAATATGAGTCCCATGGTTCTTTGTATCTACCAAGTGGAAAAAAAACTAAATTCATCCAAAGGAATTTTTTCCCTTTATTGTGGCATTTGTGTGCTTTGTTTTTAATAATAAAAATGCTTAAGAGATACTTATTCTAATTATTTGCCAAAAGGATAGTGATCATCTGTTTTATAAAAGCTTTAGAAGTTTTCACTCATCAAGAGAACTAGCTGAGCTCCTGTGAGGTCTGGTCTTGTGAGGTGTTTTGATGGATGGGGAGCAGTAGAGTCCAGGTGTGTGGCATTCTGCTGATATCACTTGGTAGCACAGTAGGACCTGGGGAGGCAGAAGAGGAAGTGATGAGCTCCATCCAGTCTTCTGTGTAGACAAGGCTTCAGATGTTTTATGATTTGAGGGTGCACATGAGCTGGAGTCATTCAATAGTCTTGTTGGAAAAAGCAGATCTCTGGTACATTCAAAGAGGTGTTGTTCCAGAAGGAACATGTGATTAAGATTTTCTCTCCACACAGAAGTGAAGAGAAGGGCACCTCCTGAGGCCTTTTTTATGAAGAAACAGTACAGGATTTTCTCAGTGTTTCATCTGAAGAGTCTGAAAAATTTGGCCCCATCCCTGTGGAATATTGGAATTTTTGGTACCCTAGTAGGCTGCAGGAATGTTAAACTATAAATTCAATCCAGATACCCCCTCCTCCACACCCCAGATAACCACATGTGGTGGCTAGTTGATTGGAATTGTCTATGTTCTCTCTCTAGGTGGTGTGTCTGTGCCATAAATAATAACACTGCTGTTTTCTCTAGATAGTAACTGATAGTATATCTTAAGGTCACTGCTGGAACCACCAGCAAAACGAAGGATACCATACATCTGTTTTGTAAGGACATCTGTTTTGTAAGTTCACTTGTCTGACTGCTGTGGCCAGAAGGCATAAACCTGCTTCTTTGTGCTCTGAAGGACTATTGAAGTCCTGAGGTTTTGCTTCAGAGCCTGCTGCCTAGTTGCCTCTAGAAGATTAGGCTGACATTTTCATCTGAATGATGAATATGCAGCTGATTATAATGGGTTTATTGAGAACATTTTTGCAAAATTGACCATAGCAATAGTCACAGAGCAGTGCATAAAACCTGGATGGCGTTTGATTGCGTTTCTCTAGCCAATTCTTTTTTGTTTTTAAACTTTTTATTTTGTATTGGAGTATAGCCAATTAACAAACAAACGTTGTGATGGCTTCAGGTGAACAATGAAGGAACTCAGTCATACATATACATGTATCCATTCTACTCCAAACCCCTCTCCCATCTAGGCTCACTTAACATTCCATGTGCTACTCAGTAGATACTTGTTGATTATCCATTTTAAATACAGCACTGTGTACATGTCCATCCGAAAGTCCCTATCTTTTCTCATTCTTCTCCTGGCAACCATAAGTTCATTCTCTAAGTACACAAGTCTGTTTATGTTTTATAAGTTCACTAGTATAATTTCCTATTAGATTCCACATATAAAGGATTTCATATGATATTTCTCTTTGTCTGACTTCATTCATGTGACACTCTCTAGGTCCATCTATGTTGCTGCAAATGGCACTATTTCATTCTTTTTAATGGTCTAGTCCACTCTGCATTTAGCAGTGCCTGAATGATGAAGTCACATGCAAATTCTGTTTGAAAGGCTGCTGTGATCAACTAGCAATGTTTGCCACAGGCTTTGGTTGCAGTGGGTTAGCATGTTGTTCAGGTGTATTCAGACCATGGATCCTTAAGTCTGCTGTTTTAAGGTGTTCTCATACAAGATTCCCAGGAACTTTGTTCAATCTCTGGTGCTTAATAAGATGTACGGTAATGGCAAAGGCTGTTAGTTATTAGCTGAGTTAGATCTGGGAGTTTTCTGAATATAAATAATGAAGTCTGGAGAAAAATGCATGTATTCACACATGGGCATCCTTAACCCTGATTATTCTCCCTCAGAAACACTGCAGCTGTGAATAAAAGCCCAGCCTTAGGAATAAGGGGCTTCCAAAGAGTTGGTCACGACTGAGAGACTGAACTGAACTGAACTAGGTGGCGCTGGTGGTTAAGAGCCTGTGCAGGAGACAAGAGATGCAGGGTCGATCCCTGGAGTGGGAAGATCCCCTGAAGAAGGAAATGGTAACCCACTCCAGTATTCTTGCCTGGAGAATTCCATGGATAGAGGAGACTTGTGGGCAGCAGTCCATAGGGTCATAAAGAGTCAGACATGACTGAAATGACTTAGTACACAGGTACAGACTTGGGAATAAAACAGAGTTGGGTCTGACATCTGCTCTACTACTTAGGTAGGTTAACTTACTTAATCTTGGGCAGTGAGTGTTCTTAATCCCTCAGTTTCTGCGGTATGAGAATTTCTTGAGTTTGACACATAAAGTACTTGCAGGCCACTGCCAAAGACACCAGAACCTTGAACAAGAAGAAATAAGAAAATATTAACAACTAGTGATGTGATCTGGAGAAGGCAATGGCACCCCACTCCAGCACTCACGCCTGGAAAATCACATGGATGGAGGAGCCTGGTAGGCTGCAGTCCACGGGGTCGCTAGGAGTCAGACAACTGAGTGACTTCCCTTTCACTTTCCTGCATTGGAGAAGGAAATGGCAATCCACTCCAGTGTTCTTGCCTGAGGAATCTCAGGAACAGGTGAGCCTTGTGGGCTGCCGTCTATGGGGTCGCACAGAGCCGGACACAACTGAAGCGACTGAGCATCAGCAGCAGCGATCACTCACCTAGAACCAGACATCCTGGAGTGTGAAGTCAAATGGGTCTTCAGAAGCATCACTACAAACAAAGCTAGTGCAGGTGGTCGAATTCCAGCTGAGCTCTTTCAAATCCTAGAAGATGCTGTTAGTTTGCTGCAAACTCAATATGCCAGCAAATTTGGAAAACTCAGCAGTTGACAGAGGACCGGAAAAGTCAGTTTTCATTCCAATCTCAAAGAAAGGCAATGCCAGAGAATGTTCAAACTACTGCACAGTTGCACTTATTTCTATGCTAGTAAGGTAATATTCAAAACCCTTCAAGGTAGGCTTCAACAGTACATGAACCAAGAACACTCAGATGTGCAAGCTGTATTTAGAAAAGACAGAGGAGCCAGAGATCAAATTGCCAACATCTGTTGGATCATAGATAAGCAAAGGAATTCCAGAAGAACATCTATTTCTGCTTCATTGACTACATGGAAGCCTTTGGCTGTGTGGGTCACACACAACAACTGAAAAATTCTTGATGAGATGGGAATACCAGACCACCATACCTGCCTTCTGAGAAACCTGCATGCAAGACAAGAAGCAACAGTAAGAACTAGACATGGAACAACAGACTGGTTCAAAATTGGGAAAGAAGTACTTCAAGTCTGTACATTGTCACCCTGCTTATTTAACTTATATACAGAGTACATCATGTGAAATGCCAGGCTGGATGAATCACAAGCTGGAATCAAAATTGCTGGGAGAAATATCAACAACTTCAGATATGCAGGTGATACCACTCTAATGGCAGAAAACAAAGAACTAAAGAATCTCTTGATGAAGGTGAAAGAGAAGGGTGGAAAATAGCTGGTTTAAAACTCAGCATTCAAAAAACTAGATCATGGCATCCAATCCCATCCCATGATGGCAAATATATGGGGAAAAAGTGGAAACAGTGACAGACTTTATTTTCTTGGGCTCTGAAATCACTGTGGATGTTGACCATGGTCATGAAATTGAAAGATACTTGCCCTTGGAAGAAAAACTGAAAAACCTAGACAGCATATTACAAAGCAGAGATATCACTTTGCCAACAGTGGTCTGTATAGTCAAAGGTATGGTTTGTCCAATAGTCATGTATGGATGTGAAAGTTGGACCATAGAGAAGGTTGAGCATGGAAGAATTGATGCTTTTGAACTTTGGTGCTGGAGAAGACTCTAGAGAGTCCCTTGGACAGCAAGGAGATCAAACCGGTCAATTGTAAAGGAAATCAGTCCTGGATATTCATTGGAAGGACTGATGCTGAAACTGAAATTCCAATACTTTGGCTACCTGATCTGAAGAGCCAACTCATTGGATAAGACCCTGATGCTGGGAAAGATTGAAAGCAGGAGAAGGGGATGACAGAGGATAAAATGTTTAGATGGTATTACTGACTCAGTGAACATGAATTTGAGCAAACTCTGAGAGATAGTACAGGACAGGGAAGCCTGGCGTGCTGTAGTTCATTTGGTCGCAAAGAGTCAGACATGACTTAGGCACTGAACAACAACAACTCGCAGGTCTCACAGAGCATGAATGATAACCTGTAGGAAGGCTGTCAGCCCAGGGTCCTTGCACGCAATTCCCTCCCTCCCCCTGCCAGGGAAGTTGTGCTGGCCTTGCGGGGTTTGTTCCCAAGTGTCCTCAGGGTTATAGAAAATGTAGCTGTCAGTCACATGAAATGTAAAGTTACACGTGTCTGTGACTGCTGAGTGATGGCATGTCTGTTACATATATGCTTCAGGACAGTGAGCTCAGTGTTTGTGGGAAAAAGGATGTTACATTGGGCAACATAATACCAGAGCCTTGACATCCTCTCTTCCCCTGTACGAGTTAATTGTCTTTGCAGACCCTCCCATTCACTCATCCTGGCATCCTGCTCAGCCCTACGTGGGGTTTGAAAGAAACAGGATGGCTTTTCACAGGTGTGCGTTCCCTCTGGCCCACTGTAACTCTTGGGCATGAGGTGAGGTAGGTGGTGGGATGTTTGGTTCCCTGGTATTCAAGGCTGAGATGACACCTGGTTTCTAAAGTTGACCCTGCCCACCATCCCTGCTGGAATCACTTGCAGCTTTGATCTCCCGACAGAGAAGCAGGTGAGGGAGGCCTTGTTGAAGAGTTCGTTCCAGGACTCTCCCTGGGTGAACAGTCAAATCTGCTTCCTGGTCAGAAGCCTTGTCTGTGATGAGTAGTATTGATGTCACCACATTTGTTGTGGAAATGAGAGTCTGATTCTAGTGAGTTTTCTGTGCTCTCTGGAGCTGGAGCCTTGGCATCCTTCTGACAGGGTGATGGCCCCGGAATTCACCTGCATCATCCCTGTGAGCACCCTGCTTCCAGACTGAGTTCTGGGGTTAGATTGGGACACCTGCCAGGGTGTTGAAAAGGCCTGAACAGAGCTCCCAGCCTCTCTTATTTGGAGCTTGAGCTCAGTCTGTGTTTGTGTTGCTCTTATAAGGGCAAAGTTATAGGAAGCTAAAATAAAATGTTATTCAACTTAATGAAGACAGAGAGCAGTGTGGATGCTGAAATGAGAACACAGGCACACAACCAGTTGATCAAACGCACAGCACCACTGAATCACTTTCAGCTCTTTGCCTGAACAACGTACAAAGGGGAACTGTTTGATCATGTTCAGGTTCAGAGAAGGTTTTTTCCTTTAAGTCAGTGTCTCAGGTGGGGCCCTAATAGTTAGGGTTCCTGGTCAGACACCTCCAGGTGGAAACAGCCCCAGGGTCCAGTGGATGGTCAACTGGCCTCCAGCCCAAGCTGTCCTCCCCCAGCCAGGGGTTCCCACCCTCTGAGCTCCAGTGTCTCACAGGAGGAAGTCTGCTCCTTCCTTGCTGGTAGAACCGAGGACACTAAGCATTGAGGAGGCTCTGTGTCTTTGCCCGCTTGTACCCCAGCCCCCACCGCCACTGCAGTGCCCATGTGCACTCTGGTACTGACTACACTGTCACCCAGACAGATATTCAGATGTTAGGCTAAAGAGTCAGGCCCTGAAAATAATTTGGAGTTCTCCCCCTTGACTTTTTTCCCTTTCATTTTATAAAATTTCCATAGCTTCCTGTAAGATAAGTGATCTTAACTTCCTTTAAACACCCAGGTTTTACTAATAGCTCTTCTCAGGAGATGCACAGGTAACAAGGTGATGTCGATATTTCCTGCTGATAAAACACAAGTTATCATTCATCCCGGACAGAGGTCACAGTGTCACAGTCTGCCACTGACAACAGCAAGTTACAGCCTCGTTCACAGTGGGGAATGAGAACCCTAAGGGGTCCTCCCTGCCCTGCAGCCTGCAGCCCACCTGTTCCCTGATGGGCAGGAGCCTGACCCTGGAGCTTGTGGTCCGTGTGCTCTAAGAGAAGATGGCAGGAAAAGAATGACCAGTCAGGTGACACTAGACCCCAAGCCACATGAAGTCACTCAAAAGAGAATGGACACCAAGGCCACTGTCGGATTCTAAAAAGGTGGTGTGAGTGTCACATGCCGCAGTGACCTCCAAACACCAGGACGTGTATCCAGCAGGGCAGTCATAAAAACATCCATCAGGTTCCTGGAGTGAAGTCAAGACTGTTCAAAGACTCCATCTGCCGGGTGCTGTGGACACAAGGGTGGTGCAGTACCAGGTGCTCCGTGATCACACAGAGGCTCCTGGCGCAGGTGCAGGGAGAGTCCCCGGATGGGGGAGACGGCAGACTGTCCGCTCCCTTACTCGTCTCACCCTGTCCTGGGTCTGCCTCTGGTCCAGGGTGGGGGATGTACTGACTCTATCCCAGCCCTTAGGCTACTTGTCTAAGGTGGAGACAGCACGCAGGTAGCTCATCAAAATTCAGTGTGGTGAGGACTGTAATGAATTAAATTTTGGAATGCCACTGACTAATAAATTAGTGAATATTTACTCAGTGATGAAAAAGAATGAAACACTGCCATTTTCAGCAACATGGATGGAAAGAATATTATTCTTAGTAAAGTAATTCAGAGAAAAACAAATATGATACATCATCACTTATACGTGGAATCTAAAAAGTAAAAGACTCTATACCAAATAGAAATCGACTCAGAGATATAGAAAACAAAATTATGGTTACCAAAGGGGACTGGAAGGGAGGAATAAATTAGGAATATGGGATTAACAGATAAACACTGCCATGTTAAATAGGTAAGCAACAAGGATTGGCTGTAAAGCACAAGGAATTTTGTTCAGTATCTTGTAATAACCTATAATGGAATATAATCAGAAAAAATAAGTGACTCACTGTACTATATACCTGAAACTAACCCATTGTTATAAATCAACTATCCTTCAATATGTTTTAAAAAACACTGTGAACAATTTCCACATGGAGAGATGCCAGAAGAATTTGGAGGGCGGTGTATTTGAGAGGACCTTGGTGAATTAATTAATAAAGAGTTCCTTTACATAAATCTAGTTTCAATTTGAATTTGGTCAAAGGTGGGTTCAAAGAGGATCCTTAATTTCCAGGTTGTTAAAGTGAAGGTTGGTGTGAACAGGAGTTTGAGGGTCACATGGAGGATCCTCTCCAAAAGGGGCAGCTTCCTTCCCTAGGCAGCCCTCCAGGAAGCCGTGGGTGTGCCCTTCAGCAGGACATGTGAGCACAGAGCCCGGGAGGCAGTGGGTTTGCTCGCATCCAGCCTTCCTGACTTTCTCTTGTTTGCGTCTCTGCTTCCCCAGCACAGAGTCCAGTGTTTTCTCACTTAGCATCTTCTCTCCAAGGACTCGAGACCATCCGGGCATACAAAGCCGAACACAAGTTTCAGAAACTGTTCGATTCACACCAGGATTTGCACTCAGGTCTGTTAGTTTCTGGAGATGATTTCAAAGGATGAGATCTGCTGCCTTCTGCGGCCTGACCTTCTTCTCAGGTGGCCTGGCTGCTCCCACCTCTCTCTCTGCTGCCCCTCATCCCCCTCTGCACACCTGCCTCCCCCACCCCTTCCTCTCAGCATCCCTCTGTGTGCCCCTCTTCCCCATCACTCCCTGCTTTTCACCCCCGCCTTGTTCGCACTGTCCTTCATCTTTCCATCACTGCGCCCTGTGGTTTTCTCTCTCTTCAGGGCAGGAGTTATGAAACTTTTGTTTTTTTTTTGTAAAGATCCAGGTAGAATATATTGTAGACTCTTTGTACTCTACCGTCTCTATTGCAGCTACTTACTTTTGCTGTTGTGGCACAAAGACAGGCAAAGGTAATATGTCAGCAAATGGCCATGACTGTGTTCCAGTAAAACTTTACAGAACCAGGTGGTGGCTGTTCTTGACCCACAGGCTTTAGTTTATTGACTCTCCTTTCAGAGTATGCAGGGTGGCAGATGTGATTGCGGAATATAATTTCCTGATTTGCCACCCACTTGATCATACTTTGTATCAGTGAATTTTTTTCTAGGAAGAAATTTCAGAATTTCCACTAAGTCTGTAAAATTTTGACCTGTCTCTAAAATCTTTATTCTGTTTTGAAGATAATGACTGCATTTAAAAAGCTGCATGCAGATCTCGTTAGCTGATGGTCCTTTAGATGTTGGCTCCTAAAAGTAGACACATGTAGGGTCGTGTGATGAGTGCAGAAGGTGCTGGAAACAGTGTGAGCTATGCTGTCTGCTATCAGAGAGCTGGGAACAGTCGACATGTGAGAGGATGACCTTCGTGTTGAGGTCTAGCACTGCCGGAAATGTGTGGATTAGAATTTTTTCCCTCTTTTTCCTTGTGATTGTATTTCTGTTGATAACCAGTGAGTTGAAGTTTTCAGTGCATGCTTCTCACAAAGCTGCTGGACTGATTCTATATGTGCTATATGTTATCTTTGTCAGAACGTAGCTTTCTGGAATCAATTTCCTTGAATGTGTAACTTTGCTGTCCCCTTGTATAAATGCTTAACTAAGCAAAATGCTCTCCTTCATTAGAAGCAGCTAACATGGTTTTTATGTTTATTCATTATATTACGGTTCACAAATCCAGAGGCTTGTTTCCTGCTTTTGACGATGTCCCAACAGTTCGCTGTGTATCTGGATGTCATCTGTGCCATCTTTGTCACTATTGTTGCCTTTGCGGCCCTGATTCTGGCAGATAGTAAGTAAATCTGAATAGTTATGAAATGCTTACAGTTTATAGCTTCATTTCCAGTTATTAACTTAAACTCTTGCCACTTGTCTAATATATGCTCTTTGGTTCTAATGAATTGTATTGGGGGTTTTATAGCATGTGACTCCACAGCGTGGTCCATGTGAAGTCATTTGCATCTTGATGAGAACTTTTATCTTTTTTTCCATTTATTTATTTACAGTAGATCCTTGTTGAGACCTTTAAAAAAAGATTTATTGGCATTTATTTGCTTTATTATGTTGTATTAGTTTCAAATATACAGCCAAGTGAATCTGTTACTGTGTGCTCAGTGTAAGTCATGTCAGCTGTTTGAAACACCATGGACGTAGCCTGCTAGGCTCCTCTGTCCATGGGATTTTCCAGACAAGAGTGCTGGAGTGGGTTGCCATTTCCTTCAGGGGATCTTCCCGACCCAGAGATCAAACCTGTGTCTTCTGCATTAGCAGGCAGATTCTTTACCACTGAGCTACCTGGGAAACCCTAATCTGTTATACTTATATCCCTCATTTTTGGATTCTTTCTTTCCACCTCATGAACATTGGGCTGCATGCATGTTTTTAGTAATTTTCATTTTAAATAATACTTCAAATAAATGACCGTATTGGAAAGAATTTTTCTTTTTGGCTTTTGGAATCTTCAGGAACAAAGACCAGGTATGAATGTGCCTGTTCCAGCTGACCTGTGATGCCTTGGGTGCCTGCTTTGACTCACTTGGGCCATTCTTTTATTTTTATTTTTAAAGTATTTTATAGGGGTATAGTTGATTTTTACTGTTGTCTTAGTGTATAGCACTTCATGTGTACAGCAAAGTGAATCTGCTATACATATACCTACTCTTTTTTGAGCTTCTTTTCCCTATAAGTCATTACAGAGTTCCCTGTACTTTATAGTAGATCCTTATTAGTTATCTATTTTATATATAGTAGTGTGTATGTGTCAGTCTTCCAGTTATCCCTCCCCTCCCTTACCCTTATATTTTCTGCATCTGTAAGTATATTTCTGTTTTGTAGATAAGTTCATTTGTAGCTTTTTGTTGGATTCTACATATAGGCAATGTCATATTCTATTTGTCTTTCTCTGAATCTGATTTATGACAATCTCTAGGTCCATCCATGTTGCTGCAAACAGCATTATTTCTTCCTTTTTATGTCTGAGTAATAGTCCATTGTGTATATATACCACCTCTTCTTTATCCATTCCTCTGTTGGTGAACATTTATGTCCAACTTCTATGTTTTGGCTATTGTAAATAGTGCTGCAATGAACACTGGGGGGAAGTATGATTTTCTCTGGATATTTACTCAGAAGTGAGATTGCTGGATCATATGGTAGTTCTATTTTTAGTTTTTAAAGGAACCTCTGTATTGTTCTCCATAGTGGCTATACCAGTTAACATTCCCACTAACAGTGTAGGAGGTTTCCCTTTTCTCCACATCCTCTCCAGCATTTATCGTTTGTAGAGTTTTTGATGATGGTCATTTTGGCTGGTGTGAGGTGATACCTCCCTGTAGTTTTGATTTGCATTTCTCTAATAATTAGAGATGTTGAGCATCTTATCATGTGCTTTTTTGGCCATTTGTATGTATTCTTTGGAGAATGTAATTTTTGATCTTCTGCCCATTTTTTGATTGGGTTATTTGTTTGTTTTGATATAGAACCATGAACTGTTTTATATATTGGAGAGTAATTCCTAGTTAGTCATTTCATTTGCAAATATTTTCCTCCATACTTGGGTTGTCTTTTCATTTTATTTATGGTTTCCTTTGCTGTATAAAAGCATTTAATTATGTCCTCTTTGTTAATTTTTTATTTTATTTTCACTACTTTCAGAGGTGGATCAAAGTTATGACTTCAGCTTATGTCATAGAGTGTTCTATCTATTTTCATCTGAGAGTTTTATAGTGTCTAGAGTTAAATTTATGTCTGTAATCCATTTTGAGTTTATTTTTGTGTATAGTGTTAGGGAGTGTCTTAATTTCATTGTTTTACAAGTAGTTGTCCAGTTTTTCCAGCACCATTTATTGAAGAGACTGTCTTTTCTCCATTATATATTCTTTCCTCCTTTGTCATAGATTAGGTGACATAGGAGCATGGGTTTATCTCTGTACTTTCAACCCTATTCCATTGATCTATATTTCTGTTTTTGGTGCCAGTGGCATACTGTTTTGATTACTGAAGCTTTGTAGTATAGTTTGAAGACCGGGAGCCTGATTCCCTCAGCTTCATTTTTCTTTCTCAAGATTGCCTTGGCTATTCATTGTCTTTTTTGTTGCCATACAAATTGTAAAGGTTTTTGTTCTTATTCTGTAAAAAAATGTCATTGGTTATTTGATAGGGATTACATTGAATCTATAGATTGCTTCAGGTACTTTCTTTGTATATTTATTTGCTGTAGGTCCTTGTTGAAACCTTTTATCTTTTCATCTTTCTTTGAATGGGTTGAGGTCTGCACAGCTGTAGCAACATGACATTCTGAACATTCCAGGTAATGTCTTGTAGTTGGGAGGGGAGAATCAAGTTTTCTCTTAAACTTTTTCCACAAATGAGAGTTTAGGTTTTAGCTTTAGGTCTGCCTGGATCTCTTAGTTATAGGTAATTGTACATTAGGGTGAGAAAGATTCTCTGTAGCAAAGATCAATATCTTCACTGCTGTGTGGGTACAAGATTAGCAGGTTGGGCATGTGTGACATGAATTCACCATTCCTAACTATTTCATAGTAATAACTCCAAATCATAGTCTTTAATAATGAAAAATGAGAGTACTACTTTAGATTTAAAAGCATTGGCTCCTAGAATTGGTTGCCTTGTTTTTGTGATTTCAGCTGAAGCTACATTCGACATAGAAAGTGAGATTACATAATGATAATTGAAGCCATAATAATGAAAGTCTGAATAATGACATGATCCTCACCCATATAATTACTGTCAACTGTATGTCAATCCAGTTGAGATTAATAAAATCACCTTTCTAATTCTTTCTAAATTCATAGTGCTTTTTTCACTGTATTATGGTCCCAGTCAATAAACGGTAATATTATGAGTAACATTATCATTACATGCAAATGATTAAAATGTCATAAAGAAGTCTTCTCACTACTATATATGAATATAAAATAGATAACTATTAAGGACCTACTATATAGCACAGGGAACTCTACTCAATACTCAATACTGTAATGGCCTATATGGGAAAATAATTTTAGAATGAATGGATTTTATGTATATGTGTGTCTAATTCATTTTACTGTACACCTGAAACTAACACAACTTTGTAAATCAAATATGCTCCAATAAAAATTATAAAAATAAAGGAGTCTTCTTCATAAAGTGACAGAAGGGACTAGGTGAGGGGGTGGAGAAGGAGACTGACTATTCCTCTTCTTCCTCATTTAGCTTTGAATCCTGGGGAGGTTGGCCTGGTCCTGTCTCTAATCATCACACTTACGGGGATGTTCCAGTGGTGTATCAGGCAAAGCACTGAAGTTGAGAATATGGTGATGTTTCTCTTTCCATTCTTAGTCTTTTCAAGTCTCCTTGCTGTTAAATGGAATAAAGGCAATTCTAATGTAAAATAGTAAAACTATCCTTTTGGCATCATTGTTAACAGAGGGATTTTTTTTTATTCTTCTCCATCTGCTTAAAGTTAATGTTAATTAAAATATATACATCTTTTTCTCAGTTTTATGTGCTCAGTGTCAACAGGTTTTATAGTCACAAATTATCCTTAAGTATAATAAATGTCTCTGTAGGAGGGAGGTCATGTAAACCTGGAGAGAATATGAGCTAATTTCTTAGCAGCTTGTTTATCTTTGTTTCTTAAGGGGTAATTCCTCATTTTTGGTTAAAAAAAAAAGAAGTCAGTACCTCAAAGTAATAAAATTAATTTATTTAATAAAAAGTTTCCTCTGCCTTCCCCCCAACACATTTTATCATTTACTCATGTATGTGTCGAACACCTGAAACTGCTGGAAGCCCTTCTTTCTGGTAGGATAAGCTGTCTCTCAAAATGTGCTCTCAAAGGTGTGGAGTTATAGTTGTTTCAGAGGCCTTGGTCAATATGTAAATTAAACACTTTCTAAATATTTGCACCTCCTCCTAAAGGGAGAAAAACAATAAAAATGAAGTCTTTTCATTTCGGTCTTCTAACAGAATAGATCGTGACTAATTATTAAAATGAGGTTTGATGACCGTCCAGTCCTGCTTATCTGTAACATGTGGCCCTTCTGTAACCACACTTTTTAAATTGGTGTCCATAAGTGTTCTTTTCTTTGAAAAAATTCTCTTTTTAAAAAATTCAGATGTGAAAGGTAGAGCAATAAAATCTTAAACATTCATTTCTCTAATTCTTTTAGCTTTAATATAAAGTTGAAGGAAGTAGTTGTAAGTAAAAGGGTTGAAGATGATGAACAAATTTGCAAATCACCCAAGGCTCCATAAGACAAAAGGCCCCTACTTTTGTCCTTTGTGGATGCTGAGACCTGAGATATTCTATACCATATAAAAGCTAATGTGAAGATATAAAGGCAGAAGGTTTCACTTGCAATCTCTAAAATTAATAAGCAAGACTGTCTGACACTCGTGTGATGTCATATGCATTTCAGATGATTTCAGTAGAAAGGGGAATTGAATATACAGACCTTGAGAAAGAAGCACCCTGGGAACTCGAGTATCGTCCACCACCATCCTGGCCTCATGAAGGAAGGATTTACTTTACTTATGTTAACGTCAAGTACAGTCTGGATGGGCCTCTGGTATTGAAGAACCTGGACACGCTCATTGACCCAAGAGAAAAGGTTAGTTTAAGCCATTTGCCTTTTTAAAATTCAGCTGAAGATTTAGCACCATGTCTGCTCTTGGCTTCCTTGTCAGTGCGTCAGGGGGACTCTTTGTTCCCAATGGATACAGATTAGATCAGTGACATCATAGGTGAATTTTTCTTGGAAACTGACCATGGAATGGGGATACCAGCAATTTTTTCCCTGTGGAGTGAGCTCCCTCATGGTGGTAGATGGGTCCTGGGCTCCAGGGCTCAATCTTAACCTGACCCAGGACACTCTACAGGACACCTGATTATTCATACTAAGTCTGGGAAGTCAGCCCTGGCTCCCTGCCACTAACTGCCCAATATCCCCCACCTTTCCGCCTTTCCATCTTTTCTTCTTTGTATTCTGAGATCTCCTCCTTCTCCCATGGTGCCCTCTGGTTGCCGCCCCCTCCTCTCTCCATTGGCCCTTCCCGTAGACTTGTCCTCATTCACCGACACTGAACTGCCATTGCCCTGCCCCACCCTGCAGGCTGCTTCTTTCGGAAACACAGATCTGACTTTTACTGGCCTGAGTAAGCTGCCAGTAGAACTGCAGCACAGCCCCAGGCCCACTCCAGTAGAGGTTGTGGGTTGAGCTCGTAGCCGCTAGAGAAGAGCCAGAATCGTGACTCAGTCACAAGTGAGGAACCAGAGCCCCAGATGGAGACAGGACCCAGAGACTCACTCAGAGTCGAAAGCAAATTGAAGGGAGCAAGGAAGATTCACATTGGAGATGGCAGAGAGGCTAGTAACCTGGACCTGCCAGCATCCATGTCTGCTGGTGATGTTCCTTTCATGCTCAGATTGGGATCCTCAACTGGGACCAGGGCAGACTCTTGAAGAAGAGACTAAACCAGAACAGACAAGGTGGTAGGAAGCCCTTGCCCCATCTCCCTCTGCGGCCAGTATGTCTCCTGATTTACACACACCCCTGCACTCAGGTCGTGTGTAGGTGCTCCCAAAACACTATGTCCTCCCAGCGTCCAGTGTTCAGTCTGCTCCTCAACCTGAGAGACTCGTCCCCTCCATCATCAAGATGGTGAAAGTCTCCTCATTTTCTGATGTGACTCTAATGCATTTTCGAGACCCAATTCTTCCTCAGTGTTTTACCTTTTCTTTTAACATAGCATTTACAGTACACCTGTAGTCATAGCAGGCAAAAGTTGGAAGGAACTAAATCCTTACAATGAAATATTATTCAGTCTTAAAAAGGAAGAAATTTCTGGCCTATGGATAAACCTTGAGGACATCTTGCTAAATGAAATAAGCCAGACACAAAAGAAATGAAACTGATTCCACTCATGTGAGTTTCCTAGTTTCCTGTCAAATTCAAGAAGACAGGAAGTAGGATAGTGGTCTCCAGGGACTACGGGAGGGGAGATGAGGAGTTGTTTGTCTAAAGAGTATAGAATATCAGTTTTATGAGGCAAAAAAAAAAAAATTCTCAAGCTTGGTTGCACAGTAATGTGAATGTACTGAACACCAAACTGTCCAATAAAATGGTTAAGCAGTTAAATCTTATGTTATGTGAATTTTATCATAATTAAAAGATAGCACCTGTGGCATGCTTTGTAATTTGAAGTCTGTATCTCACAGTACCTTGAAGCTTTTTAAAATCAAGGAGCATCTTGTTTTCATTGTTGTTCCCTAGAAAGTGGCATTCTGCAGGGCACAGAGAGGGTACTGAGGGATTGCTGGATGAGAGGGTGAGTGAGTCACACACAGGTGTGAGCAAGGAGGAACCAACACACACACACACACACACACACAAACACATGACAACTCTGTAAATAACAGAAAGAACTGCTCTTTAAAACTCTCCCCACCCCAGACCCATCTAGTGGACTATAGCTGTAATTTAATGAATGATAGCCTTGTAACATGAAAATGAAAAAATAAATGCTCAACTTAGCCCCCAAATGCTACCCAGAGAGCAGCTTCAGTTAGTCACAGGGCAAAAACTGGTCCTAATTATTTCCAGTTCCACTGAAGGTCAGGAAGAAGGTGAACTGCCATGTCAGGAAAACATTAGTCACAGTTTTTGATACAATTTTATTTCTGAAAGCTCTGAAAGCGATGTTTGTTTACTCTCAGACAATGTGTCAGTCAGATTTTCCATTGTATATATAATTCTGTTAACTTACACTTCTCTTAAATTTTCCCCAAAGCCATAGAATATGAATTATCTAAGAAACTCTGTAGCATAACTTAGGAACATAAGAGATTCTTATTCTTCCTTCTTAAACCCTGCAAATCATAGGATTATTGAGATTCTAAAATGTTTGAGGGAAAATTAAATTTGGAGACTGAATTAATAACTGCAGCAGCTTGACACAGTATCTCCATTAGCTTCATTTTTTTTTTTAAATTGTAGTGGTTTTTGTCATACATTGACATGAATCAGCCATGGATTTACATGTATTCCCCATCCTGATCCCCCCTCCCACCTCCCACTCCACCCGATTCCTTTGGGTCTTCCCAGTGTACCAGGCCCAAGCACTTGTCTCGTGCATCCAGCCTGGGCTGGTGATCTGTTTCACCCTAGATAATATACATGTTTCGATGCTGAGATGGCTTCATGAACATGCTGCCCGGGTTTCATCTCCCCACACAGAAATGAAGCTAAAATTCCACCTGTGTACATCCTAGGTTTCCTCTCCTGCTCACTGGTCCCCACCCCTGTCACTCCAGGACACCCCTTTGGTGATGGATTTGATTGAGAGAGGCTGCTGTGGGTGGGGAGGGGACGTGTGAGTGAACCAGCCCAGCAGAAGGGGGGCTTTATTCTCTTTCCCTTGTTTCCTCTGCTGTCACGATTCCTGGGAGTTACCATCAATAGGAAAGTGTAGTAGGTACTATGCAGGACTTTAACCCATGGAAGAAATGACAAGTGAAAATAAAGAGCCAGGACTTCCCTGGTGGTGCAGTGGAGAAGAATTCACCTGCCAATGCAGGGGACACTGATTCAGTCCTTGATCTGAACCAAGAGGATTCCACATGCCACGGAGCAACTGAGCCCGTGTGCATTAACTGCTGAGTCCATGCGCCACAACTACTGAGCCTAGGCGTCACAACTACTAAAGCTTGTGCTCAGCAACAAAAGCAGCCATCTCAGTGGTCCGTGCACTGCAACAAGGAGTAGCTTCCACTTATCACAACTGGAGACAACCTACCCAAAGCAACCATGACCCAGCACAGCCAAAAACTAAAAAAAAAAAAAAAAAAAGCTTGTAAATAGCATGCTAGGCTTCTTGGTTAGATCCTGAACATGGGCTGCATTTTTCATTTAGATGATTTTGTGGTTGATTTGATCATTTTAGAGAGTCCTGAGGCATATTAAAGCATTTTCCAGCTCTTGAGATAGATTGATTTTGTTTGTTTTTGCTCACGGGTCTTACTTGGATAATACATTTTTACAGATGCTTACTAGACCTTGCTATAATGTGCAAAAATATTTTTTCTATATTTTCTCTTTTCTATATTTTCTCTTTTTTAATGTAACGTTTTCTTATAAACCCCTCCCTTCACTCTCAGCTTGTCCCCCTTCCCCTGTTGACTTCCTCATTCCTTGTGACTCAGACTTTTCGTGCCAGAGCAGCAAAACCTGCATCTCCTGGAGCTTCTTAGAAATGCAGGGTCTCAGGCCCATTCAGATCACTTTCTCAGCATTGCATTTAAACAGGGCAGTGTTTGATGACTGATGACCTGTGATTTCCAAAAAGTGTCCTTTGACAGTTTGAAACTGAGCTCATGAATCACCCAAACCCCTATTATGACTGAGCAAGAGGTACTAGAAAGCTCTGTGCCACTTACCCTACAGATTTACTTACATTTATATTGTATAAGTTGGGCCTTTACAGTATAATCTAGTTCTTTGATTCTACTGCATTTATTTGCATCTTTCCATGGAGTCTGTCTTCATCACGGGCTGTTTTATTCCTGCTGTCTGTCCTTCCCCACACCAGCCTTCTGCAGGGACTGGAGGAGTTTCCCACGGGTTAGCCCTGCCTGGAACTGGAGTCAGAGATGTCTAAGTGAGGGATTCAGAGATTGCTGAGAGTAGGTATGGCTCTTTCATCACCTGATGGGATGAAATATGAATCTTACTGCCCCGAGCAGGGCATGAGGTCTGTCTGGTCTGTTCCCCAGGCACCATGTGCCCCACTCAGCTGCAGGTTTGTTTCAGCTCAGCTGTGGGTGCTGGTTCCTCCTTCTGACAGCCGACTCACCTGCCCTCAGGCACACTCTTGCTCCCACTCACCAGGTACATGCCAGTATTCACACCACGCTTTAATTCTCTGGCTGTAGGATCTCTATGTTAGGCCTGTGCCTTTAACTGCAGCTATACTTCTCCCCACTTTCTCTGTTGTGGCTACACAAAGGGACATGAGAAGGTGCCAGGCCATCCAGGTGATAAGGAGGCCATCAGCAGATGGAGAAGAGCCCAAGGATGTGAATTTGAGTCCCATCCTGTGACTTATGGGCTCTGACATTTCAGGCAGACTAATTCATCTAACTAAGCCTCAATCTTTTCTTTTGCAAAATGGAAGCTATAGGAAGTAACCTGTGTAAGGCACCCAGCATGGGGATCAGAGTAATTGCTTGGATAAAGATGGCCATCATTTCAGTGGGTGTTAAATGACCATAACCACTTATACCCAAAAGTTGTCTATTCCATGAGAAAAGAGGTGTTGGCCATTTGAAGTTGTAACTATAGCTGTAGGATCCATCTGTTATATTTCTTTGTCTGGTTTATCATATACCTAAATAATATAGTAATAGATTTTCCATAAATTTGTCTGGCCTGAGTTAAAAATCTCAGTTCCCAATGTAAGCTGCTTTTTCTCAGGATACCACATGTAATACAAATAAGACAGTCAAATCCAATACAGATCCTGCTGTCAACATTTACAGTTTATCTGAAGAAACAAGAAAATGACTATATTAGCTTTGTAAGCTAGAAAGAGATCATAATTTTTATAGAGGTTT